TCAACTGAATAGCAAGTTGCGAGTCGGTGGCTATCTTCACCACCCGAAAACCAAGCTTCCAAACCAGCTCTAACCCATAGAAGATGGCCCAGAGCTCCGCTAAGGCGGCAGTAGCACTACCAATGTTGGCGACAAACCCTCCCAACCAGTTTCCCAAAGTATCCCGGACGACTCCGCCCGCCCCAGCCGGACCCGGGTTCCCATTTGAGGCCCCGTCCGTGTTAACCATCACCCAACCTTCTGCTGGCGGAGTCCACCCCACTGCTGCCATAACCCGGTCAGCCTTCTGCTTTTTATGACTGAGGAATAGCTCCGGCGCCTGCCACGAATCGTTCCAGATTCTACTCTTGGTGATAATGGACTGCATAAGAGAAGGAGCAGTAAGAGCCGCCCCTATACCTTTGAAAGCAGCAGTAGTGCGGTTCTTCCAAAGGAGCCAAATGGAAATACTAAAGAAACCTGGCCAGTTGATCCCCGAAGCGGTGGTCTCCATACTCGAAAGGTTACTGCGAAACCACTCATCATGATTGGCACTGAAAAATGCCTGCTGCTTACCCTGAGGAACTTGCCTGGACCAAAAAAACAAGGCAGGGGGACAGTCACGCATAATGTGGAGAGCTGATTCCGGGCAACCTTCGCACCGAGGGCAGCAAGGAGTCTCCGCCACCTTCCTCTGAAATCGAAGAACATTTGTCGCGATCCTTCCCTGAAACGCCAACCACACAAACCCTCTGATCCGCTCTGGGACTTGTATGCGCCATATCGTCTTCCAAATTCCGTCCCGAGGCTGCTGATCCTGCGGCATAAGGAGTCCATACGCTGATTTGATGGAGAAACGGCCATCAGCAGACGGAGACCAGAACAACGCGTCCTCCTCTTGAGAAATTTTATCCACTGCCGTGCTAGTGATCTTGGCGCAAATGTCCGGTGGAAGCATATTAGAGAACAGCTCCGTGCGCCAACTCCCATCATCTCGAACAAAATCCGCTACCACCGCCTCCTCGGCCTCTCCTGGCAAGTCTCCCGTCATGACTTCCTTCAAGGGGGCCTGCAAAATCCACGGGTCACACCAGAATTTAGTCTTTCTTCCATTTTTAATATTCCACGCACAGCCTTGCTTAAGAAGGTCAGCAGCTTTGGAGAAACTGCTCCAGGTGAAGGAACTTCCCTGTTTCTTCCGTAGAACATCGAGCCCTGTTCTTTGACCTCCGTACTTCGAGAGAAGAAGTTGCCGCCAAAGGTTATCTTTCTCCTGTAGAAGGCGCCAGCCACTCTTAGCCAACATGGCCAAGTTAGCCTTGCGAGTTGGGCGCAGGCCGACCCCACCTTGGTCTTTCGCCATAGTCAACCTCTCCCAAGCAACTAGGTGCAATTTGGAACGATTCTCCTCAGCTCCCCAGACGAAGTCCCTAGTGATCTTGTCAATGTTTCTGCACACACCACTAGGGATCAATTCAGTGTGCATCGTATAGACAGGCAAAGAAGCGGTTACCGATTTAGCGACAGTGAGTCTAGCCGCAAAGGATAAGCGCTTCGCCTTCCAGGGTGCCATCTTTCTTTGAATGCGCAGGATAAGAGACTGGTATCTCCCTCTGGTGACTCTTTCTTGGATTGCCTGGATGCCGAGATATCTCCCCAGAGCAGCTTTCAAAGGAATCCCCGCACAGGAACTCAAGTCCTCGGCTTTATGTCTAGCAACGTTCGGGGAAACATAAAGAATAGACTTGCAGAAATTGATTCTTTGACCCGAGCTGTAACAGAAATCCGCAAGGCACTGTTTGATGACTCGAATTTGCCTCCTTTCAGCCTCTGCAAACAATAAAAGATCATCTGCAAAAAAAAGATGGGTCAGTGGCGGCCCGGCATTAGTTAACCGTATCGGTTTCCATTGCCCACTGCTAACCGCCTCATCGATCCTGTGAGATAATCTTTCCATGCAAAGCACAAAAAGGTAAGGGGAAAGCGGGTCTCCCTGACGAACTCCGCGAGACGGGGTGATCGGCTGAGACAATTCTCCATTCCAACGAATCCTCATGGTGTTGTGCTCCACGCAGTACATGATACAAGTAATCCAACTGCTCGGCAGCCCGACCTCTTTCAAAGTATCCCGCACGAAATCCCACCTCAGCATATCATATGCTTTTTCCAAATCAATTTTGAACACCATGCCGCCTTTCTTCCCTCGCCTCTTCCTCAAGCTGTGTAGAACCTCTTGAACAACAATAATGTTGTCAGTCGTTTGTCTCCCTGGAATGAAACTGCTCTGCCTCGGGGACACCAACTTCCTCATGAGAGGTTTCAGCCTCGAAGTAATGGCCTTAGTAATGCTCTTCAGGCACACGTTATTAAGCGAAATAGGCCGAAGCTGAGTCACTCTCTCAGGTGAATCCACTTTAGGTATGAGGACAAGCGTCGACTCCGTCACAGCTTCTGGAAGGGTGCCTGTAGTGAAGAAGGAGACAGCCATCTCGGAGAGAGCCTTCCCCACTACCTGCCAAAACTGCTGGTAGAACGCTGCTTGGAACCCGTCCGGACCAGGGGCTTGGAACGGCTTCATGTCGAAGATTGCCTGGTGGATGTCTTGAATACTGAAAGGTCTAAACAGGGCTGCTACTTCCGCTTGCGACATTCGAGGAAAGGATTCTTTCGGCAACCTATCTTCGTAGGGGGAGCTATCCTGCATATAAATGTTAGTAAAGAAATCAAAAACAAGGAGAGCAAGGGAGTGAGGATCGGTCACCCAAAGCCCATTGTCGTCGAGCAAAGCTTCAATCTTGTTAAAGCGTCTCCTGATGTTGACCTGCTGATGAAAATAAGCCGTGTTCCTTTCCCCATACTTCACCCACTTGTCCCTAGCACGCTGGTACCAAATGAGCTCTTCCTGTTTGAGAACCAGATCTAGCTCTCTGGAGAGTTTGGAGTGGAGCTTAGCGAGGCCGGGGGAGAACCCTCCTGCTAAACTTGCTTCGACCCCCTTAATTCTGCCCAGTAATCGACGCTTCTTGCGCTTGAAATCTCCAAAGACTTCATCATTCCATTCCAGAAGCTTATCCGCCAGCACTTTAAGAGCATTATGGAGAGGAGCATTCGCATCCCAGCTATCTGCTACTGCTTGCGGCAGGCGGTCACTAGTCAACCAGGCCGCCTCAAATCCGAAGTGTCTCGGGATATGCTGCCGTCTCGCCTGCAATTCCACTGAGGTCATAATCGGGTTATGATCTGATTGGTAGCGCGGCAAGTGAAGCACTGTCGAATTGGGGAATGATATGTTCCACTAGAGATTACAAAGGCTCCTGTCCAAACGGCTAGCTTTGTAAGTGTGGTTTTGATCACCTCTTGACCAGGTAAATTTCGGTCCGGAGAAACCCATATCGACAAGCTCCGCCAAATGAAGTCTTTCAGTGAACAACTGACATCTCTTCAAAGTGTTCCGCACAGGAGGCCCCGACTTCTCCTCAGGTTTGCTAATGGCGTTAAAATCCCCTGTTAGCAACCATGGCATATCAATGAGCCTGCTGTACGAAATCAGCCTTGCCCACAGAAGTCGTTGGTCCCTCTGCCGCGGTGAGGCGTACACCACCGTCAGCATCCATGGAGGATCGTTGCCCCTGTTCACTTGCAAGGACAGATGCTGCGAACAAGCAGAGAAAGGCTGCACCGAGAAAACACCTCCATCCCAAAATACCCACACCCCACCTGACCGGCCCTCGGCTTCCACGCGAAAGGAATTGGGAAACCCCAAATTATCACACACCTTGTTGGCCAAATCGCCACTCAATTGCGGCTCCAGCAGCACCACGAAGTCCGGTCGATGTGTCTGAATAGCAAGTTTCAAAGCTCGGCAGAAAGCCCGGCTTCCCGCTCCCCCCACATTCCACGCGAACACTTTAAAGTTGTGATTCATTGACATAAGGAAAAAGATAGGTAACCAGACAGAGAGGAAGAAGAGGATGGCGGCTCAGACCTCGGGGACCTCCATCACGCGTTGGCGACCGCCCCTTCGTCCGACCGCTCGCTGGAATTGGGCGGCCGGCCGACTCAACTAGTTCCGACGCTTTATCATCCTTCCTCGACTGTTTTGCTGCCTCAGTCCAGGCATGAATTTCTTGTAGAGTCAACGACGCCATTCGAGCTTTAGATTTTGGTTTTCTTTCTTTAACCGGTGACCAAATTTGGAGGGGTTTTGCCGGATTAAGCTTGCTGGGCGATCTCTTCTTCCCTTGCACTTTCTTGTTCTTACTATGTTTCGTTCTTGTTGATAAAGAGGGGTTGGAACCAGAGGTTTGTTCGCCACTCTCTATTTGGGAACTCTCAACAATATTCATCACCGTTCCATTTGGACCCACTATAGTGTGAAAAATGGGTGGCTGAGTAGGAGAGCCCGTAGGCTCTTGTTGGTCTTGAAGCCCTTTAGCATTTCCTGATCTACTCGACGTAGCCTGTTGTTGAGACTTGGACTGCTTCTGACTGATGGATTGATTCCCATCCTTATTCGCGGGCTTCGGCCCAGCTGTCTCAAGACCAACCGAACTGGGCCCCGGCCCAAGAAGACCTTTACCTTTCCCCCCAGCCTCCTTAACCATTTTATCTTTCCCTTTCTTGGTCTCCTCCCCGCTCTTTTTCCCGTTAGCCATTTTCCTTTCTTGGTTTGGGTTCCGTTGCAGAGTAGCGCCGCTGGGGGTGTTCGTGGAAGGTAGAGAATGATTCCCTTCCTTAATTATCAAATCTCGATTTCCAGTTTTACCACTTGATGTCGCAATCTGTGTCCCTGTCTCATGCTCCGACTTACCTTTCCGGTTATTGTCCCTTGAATTCCGCCGTGCTTTCCTTGTTACCAGCATCCACGGCCCGAACCCCTGGTTGGGTTCCTCCGGCGGGGGCGAGGAACTGGTCAACGACAGATCGCCGGCGGCCTCCACCAGAGCCGATGAGACTCCGATAGAATTCCTCGGGCAGGAACCGGAGCGATGCCCTATCTTCCCGCACTTGAAGCACACCTCCTACAGGTTTTCGTACTCGAACTTCTGCCACTCATCATCTAGCCAGATTCTCGGAACTAGAGGCCTCGAAATGTCAACCTCCACCGCTATGCGAGCAAACTTAGCTCTTTGCTGCGTGAGAGTATGGTAATCCAGTTTGATAGTCCGACCGATGAGATTGCCCAAAGTAGTGAGAACCTCCTTATGGTAGAAGTGGATTTTCAGAGCCGGGAGCTGAACCCAAACGATCATGGTCTTCGGAAGCGGGTCCGAAGCTTTAAACTTCGGCGTCCATTGCTGAACGACCAAGTAATGGTCGTAAATCACCCACGGTCCATCGGTCAGAGCCCGGAAGTAGTCCTGTTCGTTATCCAATTTGACTAAGAAGCAATCATGATCCAGGTCCTTAACCTCCATAGCTCCAACCGGCCGCCATAGACTCTTCAGGCGATTGCACAAAGTGATAAATCCAATCCGCAACCCAAGAAGGCGAATCACGAGCGTCCTTTGCCACGGTGCGCAAATCTTTGCTTTGAATTCAGCTGAAACTGTTAGGGCCGGTTCCCCGTTCCGATCACCTGTCACAAGGTCGTGCTCACCCACCGGAGTCCACTGGATCGCCTGACTCGGGGATGCCGCCGGCTGCGACACCCCCATGGCTGCTTTAGCATACGACAGAGCCATCCCGGAGGCCAGACCTGATGTTTGTCCCGATAGCGGCACCATCGCCGTCGTGTGGATCTCCTGTTCCTGCAGGTTCAACAGAGAAGAATCAATAGCCATATTCGACGAACTACTAGCCTGAATCGTGTTAAAAGCTAAGAAAGTAGAGTCATTAGCCGCCGGCGGGCTAGGAGTGTCCGGCGGACGGTCCGACGGGAGTAGGGCCGGTGCCGGAGCTGCTGAACCGCCAATATCAGTAGAGAGCATTTTTCCGACTCACGTGTATTACCATGAAACAATTTGTACCATTATGTTATGGTACAACTCAACAACTTTACAACTTGAAGTTGTACCATCACATAAAGGTACAAGTTCAAGTTGTACCATAAAAGAATTTGTACAAAAAGTATAGGTACAATCTAAAGTTGTACCATAACGTAAATGTACAATTTTAAGTTGTACCATAAAGGCAAAACCCTATAGCACCAATACTATATAGCATTGTAAAATTTCTCTAAGTAGTGGTCCCTAACAAGTAATAATGGGAACGGATTAGGTCAGTAACCTTGTGGGGCTCAAGATAGGGACCATAATCATGGGTTATGCATCCATCAATAACCAAATCTGGACCCTTCATTTAGAAAATTTAGATCTAAAGATGGAGAATTAAAGACCATTTTTATTTTCCCTAGCTTTCTTAATCGGCTCATATCTTTTTCGTTTTAACTCGGATTTTAATATTTTTTGCACAGGTGGAACGAGTTCATCGTGCTCTACAAAATGAGATCAATTTTCAATATTTTTTTTAGAACAAAAAATTCTGGCCTCTCAGTACCAACTGCATACCATATGGTATTTTCTTCGTTTTTAATTCGTTTTTGAAAACGTTTGCACAGAAGGGACGAGTTCATCATGATCTATTGGATCTATAAATTTCTGGGTGAACAAATTACAGGACAAAAAAATACCACACAATACCATACAATACCACCCTGATACGGGATGGTATCTTATGGTACATTGTGTACCATAAGATACCACCTCGTACCATCAAACACCAGAAACTATATGTCACCAGAAACCTGAATATGTAAGAAGTTCCATTTAACGCAATAGAAACCTCTCTCAGTGCATGCCAAAAGGCATAACACAACCAGTATGAAACAGACCACAAATGTTGATAGAAACCCATCCGTGGGGCGGGGTGAGTGAGGTCGAGTGTGTGGCTGGGTTAGGGTGGCATTAATGTTAATGTTAATTTCATGTTATTTTTCAAAACCACTATTTAATTAAGTGGTTATAATAAATCGTAATAAAACGAATACGAAAATCACAAGACACGATTTTATGTGGTATCCATGACGATTTGTCAGGACTAACCCACAGGAGAATTGAACCTCTCCAGCTGCAGCTTTTATTATTTAGAACTTAGTAGCTTGGCCGAACGGCCTATAAGTGCCTTATATAGGCAATCATCAACTTGGTTTCTACTAGGGCAAATACAAGAAGGACAAGGTTTAGGGCAACTTGTCTCATGCGGCAGTGAGCATCCCATCACAAGAGCACAGGTGGGCTTGGGTTGCTGGTCACGATCCAATACGCCCCAACAAGTTGAGCGGTGAAGATCACGAATGTTCAGCTTGGACAGGAGAAACCGAAAACGATCAGCGCCTAACCCTTTGGTAAAAAGGTCAGCTAGCTGAAGATGAGAACTGAACTTGATCTTGAGAGGGAGAACGTCACCAGAAACAACTCTCTCTCTCGCACAAAATAACAATCCATCTCGACATGCTTTGTCCGCTCATGAAAGACCGGATTAGCAGCTATATGCAGTGCTGCCTGATTATCACAGTATAGAGGGGTAGGACGAAGTCGGGGAACACCGAGCTCGTGTAGCAACTATCGTAACCAAAGAAGTTCACTGATAGTACTGGCCATAGCGCGATATTCAACCTCAGCACAGGAACGCGCTACCACCATTTGTTGTTTTGTCCAAGAAACTGGAGCTGAACCAAGGGATATAAAAAAATATGTGGTTAATCGACGAGTTGATTGGCAACCCCCCCAATCTGCATTACAATGTGCGACAAGCTCAAGATTATTATGAGCAGGAAAATATAGACCTTGGCCTGGTGAAGTCTTCAGGTACCGCAGGATGCGCATCCCAGAATCCATATGGGCCTGCGTAGGTGCATGAACAACGAGACTAAGGATATTCACACCATATGTGATATTTGGACGAGAGATAGTCAGATAAAGTAAACGTCCAATCAACCGCCGACAATTAGAGCCATCAACATGAGTAGCAAATGCGGGCTTGGTGAGCTGGTGATTCTGCTCCATCGAAAAAACACTAGGACGAGAACCAAGGACACCTACTTCGGCGAGAATATCAAGAACGTATTTTCGCTGACTGATGACAATACCTCGAGGAGAACGAGCCACCTCAAGACGCAAGAAGTAACGTAAAAGTTCGAGATCCTTGATGCTGAATTTTTTTATTAAGAGACTACTTAACATGATTAATGAAGTCCAATTCATTCCCAGCAAGAATCACATCATCCACGTATATAAGAGCAGTGACAAACACATCTCCCTTTTTATAAATAAAGAGAGAGTGGTCAGCTGGTGAAGCACGAAAGCCAAGATCGCCAAGAGATGTCTTGAATTTTTTATACCAATTTCGCGATGCCTGACGAAGTCCATAAATGGACTTGTATAGTCTGCAGACACGAGCATCACCATCAACACCAAAACTAGGAGGGAACTTCATGTAAACTTCCTCGGTCAGATCACCATGGATGAAAGCATTGTTGACGTCGAGTTGATGAAGAAACCAACCACGACTAGCAGCAACTGCTAGAAGGCACCAGACTGTAACCAGTTTAGCAACTGGAGAAAAAGTATCATGAAAATCGACGCCCTCGATTTGGGTATGACCCTTAGCAACCAACCGAGCTTTGTAACGCTCGACCGAACCATCGGGATGATACTTAACCTTGAAAACTCACTTAGAATCAATGTAGCGCTTCCCGGGAGGAAGATGAACAAGTTCCCACGTGCCATTGGCCTTGAGTGCTGCAATCTCCTTGGCCATGGCATCTCGCTAATGAGCATAGCGTACTGCTTCCTTGAAAGTCCGCCGCTTAGGTATACGATCCACAGAGGGAAGAAAAGCTCGATACGATAGGGTGACTCGATCATAAGAGACTTGATGGGAAAAAGGGTATCTCACGTGGGAAGCCGACGTGAGGTCAGTTTCGTAGATGTCAAGCTTGCGTGGAGGACGACGTTCCCACAAGCCACGGCGTAGTGGGGGATCAGTGGCATGATTAACCGAAGAATCAGAAGGCTGATGTGATGAAGACGAGGTGAGGCGCCCCCATGATGCGGAGGGCTCGACTGAGGGTCCGGTTAGACAGCAGCTGGCTCGACATGGACTGGAGACTCTGACGAGGGAGATGATGAGGAAGTTTGATCGAGAATCTGATCACCAGAGCCACCATCGACTGACGTTGAAAGATCAGCAGCTCGTACATAGTCATTGCACAGCTCCAAGATCGCGGGAGGCGGCAACCAGTGAAACTCGCGAGGGTCCTGTGCACGGAATGGAAAAAAATTCTCATGAAAAACTATATCACGTGAAACTTGAATCTTACGTATAAGTAAATCATACATTTTGTATCCCTTTTGTGTAGCAGCGTAGCCCCAGAATACGCCTGCACGACCACGATCGGCGAACTTATGAAGACCGACATGGGTGTCCTTTGCGTACACAAGGAAACCGAACACACAGAGATGTGAGTAAGATGCCGGTTTGCCAAAGAAGAGCTCGTATGGAGTTTGGTCACTCAAAAGCCTCTAAAAAGTGGAGATGAGAAAGAAATACGGGCAACCTTCCCTAAAATACGACCGTAATTTGTAAAATACCACCGGTAATTTTCAAAATACTGCCAGTATTTTTCCATACGCGACCGTGGATTTCTGCTCATCGACTTAACTAAAACTCGGGCATGGAAGAATTATGACCATATTATTGCCCGTATTTCCCACAAAATCGGGTTGAAGAGCTAGATTCGAGCCAAAGGAAGGGGATTCGACTTTTTGTAGCAAAAATAGAGTTCTAGAAAGAGAAAGAACGAATAACAAACCCTAGGAGCTATTTTGGAGTGGATTTCTTACCATTGAAGCCCAGATTGCATCTCAAGTGTGCAGATTGATATCCCAAAGCATATTATTCTAATCTTTATGAGTATGACTGCTTTTATTTCTGTTTTCCTCTCTATCTCTATGGAGTAGACCTTTCTCTCACTTGGGTATGAAGAACCCTAGTTCCATGTGTTAGGGATCTTGATTGTAATAACTTTTGGGATGATATCCTTATTGATTTTAATTGATTGAAGTGTGTTTATTGAGTCAATTGAATCCTGATCAACTTCTCTTGATTTATGTTTTCAGCTTGTGATAGATGGAATCTGAATAGGTTGTTAGAGTTTCTTCAATCGATAGGAGTGAATTGATTGTACGAGAGTCAGTCAATTCATTGCTTTGTATTGGAATATGCTTCCAGTTGTGAAGTTCTCTGTTAATTGCCTTAGCATTCTATCCTGGTGAAGACTTGCCGTCTGCCGGTTAGTCTGTCTGAGAGGGCTTGGTCAGCTTAAGAGATTCCAATCTACTGTCGGATCTTCCGCAATTTAATCAACAGTGAATCAACCAAAGGAAATTACAACTTGAAACTAACTAAGGAGTTGGGGGGACTCATTCCCGAGTGACTCTTCTCTTGCTTCAGAAAACCAGACAATTTACTGCTTTCTTTCTTTTTTAGTTTGAATTCACCTTCACTCACTTAGTCCTGCTAGATAATAGAAGTTCACAGAGTAGGCAGTAGATCTAGACTCCGAGTTGATAAATTAAACTTACACACTATTCTGCATTTACGGACTGCAATTATACTTGGTCGTAGTTTAATGTTGTGTTTTAGCGAGTCAATATGCTATTGATGCTTCGACTCATATTTCATATTCCTTCTTGCTTGCAACTTGCAATGTAGTAATTAAGTATAGCATCGATGATGTTTACCTTATGTTTAACTAGGAGTGATTGGTAGCTCCAGCCTGCTAACCACAATAAACTTATCATATGGTTGTTTTAGCACACCAATTTTTGCTGTTTTGATACACAATAGTTAGACCGCATATCCATTAATGGATAATACAAACGTACAAAACAAGTGTAAGAAAATGCTATTAAAAAAACACACACACAAGGCTTAAGTACAGAAAATTCTAAGCCCAAAAGAAAGGCCAAAACCATAAGAATCTGGATCACAACTCTCCCAAGTAAACTCCAAACCAAAATGTAAATTACTAGCCCTAGATGAAAACCCAGGGGGAATTCACATGCGCATAAGTACTATTGTTGAGAAATCCACACATAAAGTAATACAACTATCCATTTTTCAACACTCAATTGTCTTCATCCTCCTCGTCGTCGTCTTCATCATCATCAACATCTTCATCGTCTTCTAAGGCGGTGAATTCTTTTAGAGCATTCCTCAATTTCACTATTTTAGCTTTTGCTATTCCAAGTTGCTCAATTTTCACTTTCACCTTATTGGTTTGCTTTTTAATCTGCCTGTCCTTCTTCTTGATCATTTTCTCCTTTTGGTCGATCAATTTCTTATCAGCTTCCAACTTCGTGACCTGATCAACAATCTCTTTATCTTTCTCCTTAACCTCCTCTTCTTTGTTCTTTAGTTCTTCCTTCATCTTACCAATCTCCTCATCTAGTTTCTTCTTCATCGCCTCTTCCGCCTCGATCATGTGCTTGTTTTTCGCCTCGAGCTCCGCATCTTTCTTGGTCATCTCCTCATCCTTGGCATTGAGTTCCTCTATCTTCTGTTCTAGTTTTTGACCCATGGCATCTCTCTCTTTGCGTGCTTCGTCTAGTTGTTTTTTCATTTGTACCTTTTCTATCAGTAGGGTACTCACAATGTCATCAAGCGTGACGGGTTCTTGCGTTGGTGCCATGGAATTAGATGATTGTTGAGCTATCAACTTTGCAAGCTCCTTACTTTGCTTTTGTATGGCATTGTCCCTATCATTTATTACTTTCTTCAGCTCTGAAATTTCTTCGTCCTTAGCTTTCAGTTGGTTGTTTTTTTGCTTTGATTCTTGCTCCATGAAATCTATCTTCTCCTGCACTATATTGTTGGTTGATTTGTCGTCCTTCACAAGGTCTGCCATTATCATTAATATCATTATAAGAAATTGAAAATTTGTTAAACTACATTTATAGGGTATCATTATGAAATTTTACAGTGCCTGATATTTGGGATGTGAAGTACAAAATCCCAACATAAATTATCTACATTCTTTGATAAAAATATTTATCCTTAACTTTATGGCATAATAAAGAGGATATAGATAATAGATATATATACCATAAAGTGCAAAGACTAGGACAGCTAGCTAATTAAACAGATGAAAAGTAGGAGCAAGATCTAACAATGTTATTATACATAATTTGTTTTGTTTGACAGTGGAGGGGCTAGATTGTAAGTCTCATCAATAATATATCTTTCCCAATTGAAAAATAATACAATTTGTATATTTTAGATAAAAATTTCTGAACTACAGCAGGTAAATATATAAATGAACCCTTTGTTATTAAATTTAAATAAATGACAGAAAATGTATCTTAAATGCGATATTGTGTTTATGAATGAAAATTCAATAGCTGCCTGTACATTTGTTTTTAGTTTTACGGTAACCTAGAGATTGATTTATGTGTTGAAGCTACTGCAAAAGAAATAATTTAGGTAAATAAGGTCATTTTAAAACGGTTGGTCCTAGAGAGAATATTAAGATAATAAAATTTAACACATGTAAGTTTGAATTTTGCATCCAAAACAAAGTTTTAATCTTTCTATAAAATAATTGCACAAGTAAAAATGTAGAATACTCACCGATCTTCAGCGAAATAGCTATTTTAACATCCTTAGAATTCGTCACAATTTCTTCAACCAATAATCCTCCCGATAACCCCTCTGCTGTTGGAGGCGTTGTTACTATCGACGATACAGTAGGGCGTGACCCTTGATTTTTCATCGCTGCAATCGCATCGTCTTTCTTGTTGATAACTACTATTAGCTCCTCTATCTTCCCCTCCTTGGCATCCAACTCGTGATTTTTCTCAACAATTTCGGCCTCTCGCTCCTTAATAATTGCTTCCAGCCCCTCAATCTTTTTATTTTTTTCTTCTAGATCCTGAACTTTCTGAGAATCCTCTTTCTCACCCTTGTTGATAATTGCTTCCAACTCCTGGACTTTTTGGGCAGCATCTTCCTTACACTTTTTAACAAGGGCTTCCAGCTCCGCAATCTTATTATTCCTTTCTTCCAGCTCCTGAATTTTTTGGGCAGCTTCTTTTTCACCATCCTTGATGATTGCCTCCAGCTGCTCTATCTTATTATTCTTTGCTTGCAGCTCTTGTTTTTTCCTGTTAGCTTCTTCCTCATCCTTCATAATAATTGCTTCCAGGTTCTTTATCTTTTCATCCTTTGATTCCAGCTCCTCATTTTTCTCCGCCATCTCTTCCACGTACTTATCGATAATTGCTGCCAACTCAACGATCTTGCTCCTTGATTCAGCCAGCTCCTCATTCCTCTTGCGAATCTCATCGTCCTTCTTCGCAATTTCATCCTCGCACCTCTTCAAAAGGACATTTAACTCCTCGATCTTATTTTTCGCTGCATCCAGGTCCTGAACCCCCTTGCGAATCTCCTCCTCTTTCTTCTTCATCTCCTCGTCCTTATCGTGCACCGCCTTGTTTTTGGCTTCCAGTTCCTTGCTTCTCGCGTCGATCTCCTTGTCTTTCGCAGCGATCTCGTTGCGTTGCTTGTTGATCAGTTGGTCCTTCTTGGCTATCTCCTCCTTTGCCTTCTTCAGCTCCTCCGTCAGCTCTCCTACCTTCTTCCTGTCGTCGCTGACGCTCGGAGTAGTAGGACCGCTACTGCTGCTGCTGGCGGCAGGCTCTTCCTTGAACCACTGCCATCCGAAACCGCTGGCGTTCTTGGCGCCCTGCAGCTCACCGGTTTTGGTGTACTGACAAACGATCTGGACGCCGGCGAAGTTGGCCAGCCGATGCCCTTTCTCAAAGGATTTGTAGAGCTTCACCAATGTGTCGCCGCTGATGACGTTGCCTTTAACGTCTAACGCCGTGTATTCGGTGCCTTCGCCGTTGGGATGGATCTTCTCCACCAGCCGCCAGTCTCGGTAAGGGTACAATACTGCTCGATTACAGTGCTGGCCCTGCGAATCCATTACATGGATGGTGTTGAGCTCGCCGCCGGCGCAAGCGAAAAGGGAGCTGTTTGAATATAGAGGATAGATCTTCATACTTGTTACCCTTTCTAGTTGGAATTGATAAGAGGGAAGATTGATATTTCAAGGGCTCCTGAAAAATGGTGTAATCAACTGGGCTCTTTGATTTAATTTGTGGTAGCACTGGGAATCGGCCTGGTCTTAATTTATATCCGACGCCGGGTTTGAGTAAAAAATTTCTTTATTTCATATTTGTGAAAAAGGGAAAACAGAAGTATATGGAACGCTCCCAGTTTTGTTTCTTCTTTTCTGAAAGACAAGTGGAGTGGACGTTAATAATAATGTTAATCATCAAAGAATGCCTTCCTTTGTGATTAAAGAATACTTTGAATGGTGGTTGTACATTCTTAATTGTTTAGGGGTGATGGGTTCAATAACAACATTCTTGATTAAAGAAAGACCTCTTCAATAAAGAAAACATATTAAGATGACCAAATTGCTCATCCGTAACTAATTTTTTTTTATTGGACAACAGGATTAATATTAGTGATTAAAGATCGTCAAGTTGGTATCGGTGGTTTGAATTAACTTGCTAAATAATGCATTCATAATTTTTAAATGCCAGCATGTAATAATTTAAAAGAAACAACTTGGATGGGTGGTGGATTTGTTTCGAGAATTAAATAGTGAAAGTGAAAAGTGGTTTGCTCATGGATGCACGAAATAGTTTGTTATTTTCGTTTAAGTTTATAATCATTATTATTTCAGTACTTTTTGGGATTTCTCGGGATATGAGTTTATAAGGGAATGCTTGGGATGTTTGATAATTAAGGTAGTTGTTGTTTTGTAATCGTGACTATTAGGTATCAATAATCTTATGGTTAATACATGCATATTCTGTCACATTATCATTTATGAAATACCTCTCTTCTTTTTTCGTATAACATTTTAATGGACTATATTTGTTTGATTTTTAGTCGTAAATTTTTTTTTTACACAGATAAATCAGATTAAGTTTGATTTTCAAAATGATACTCACTTTGATATATTTTTTAAACAAAAAAATTGAGATATTTAACACCATTCTATATCATGGTGGTAATGTTTGGTACTACATAAGATCATACCGTAAAGTGGTATCAAAGTGTACCATGATGGCATGAACATACCAGAAGTAGAGTGCATAATTGTTGAATACGTGATAGTAGTAATATACGAACTGTCATTTACCACATTCATCATTGTGTACCACGAGTTATCACACATATACCAAGGTAGTATGAAGTGGTACATTTTGATCCTATATTTTTTCAAGGATTTGTGAATCCAATAAATTACGATAAAATCATTCCATCTTTGCAATAAATTACCCAAGTCCATGGCCCGGGGAAGCGAACACTGAGACCGACCATCGCGATCTCTTGGCAAGGCAATCCATTCATTGTATTGTTGGGTAAATTGGCGCATTAAAGCCGGGATACCAAATTGTTTACCCTCAAAAACTACCCATTCCTTCATTGCCTCAGCAACATCCTCGGAGTCAGACTCTGCGACATACCACATGTCCTCCGCGAAATCGTGCTCGCGGAATAGGTTTTTGGTGCCCTTTGCCCAAGCAGATGGGGGGTTAGCCCCCTGTGGGCTCCTCGGGGAACCCTTGCCCGCATCCCCTCCGTCCGTTACCATGACAGCTTCCTTCTCGAACAGCGGGTTCGTCATCAGCGCCCTGACCAGCTTCTTTGCCTGTTGCGTCTCGTGATCACCCTTCCCAGTTGGAGAGGAAGTTGTTGACGGTGGTCTGCGGACCCCCTGTGATGCATCCGGGAGATGGCAGTCCAGGGGAGTGGCCCCCGGCGCCGGCGTGCTCATTGTCAAAGCTCGAGACCGTCTCTAGGGTTAGCACCGCTCCAGAAATCTCGGAGCTTGTTTACCTCCAATTCTATCCTTGTACATTTGTTTTTAGTTTTACGGTAACCTAGAGATTGATTTATGTGTTGAAGCTACTGCAAAAGAAATAATTTAGGTAAATAAGGTAATTTCAAAACGGTTGGTCCTAGATATAATATAAAGATAATAAAATTTACCACATGTAAGTTTGAATTTTGCATCCAAAAAAAACAAAGTTTTAATCTTTCTATAAAATAATTGCACAAGTAAAAATGTAGAGCACTCACCGATCTTCAGTGAAATAGCTATTTTGACATCCTTAGAATTCGTCACAATTTCTTCAACCAATAATCCTCCTGATAACCCCTCTGTTGTCGGCGGAGTTGTTACTATCGACGATACAGTAGGCCGCAATCCTTGATTTTTCATCGATGCAATCTCATCGTCTTTCTTGATGACAACTAGTATTAGCTCCTCTATCTTCCCCTCCTTGGCATCCAACTCGTGATTTTTCTCGGCAATTGCTTCCTCCCGCTCTTTGATAATTGCTTCCAACCCCTCAATCTTTTTATTTTTCTCTTCTAGATCCTGAACTTTCTGAGCATCATCTTTCTCACCTTTCTTCATAATTGCTTCCAACTCCTGGATTTTTTGGGTAGCATCGTTGATGATTGCTTCCAGCTCCTCAATTTTGTTATTCCTTTCTTCCAGCTCCTTAAGTTTTTGGGCAGCTTCTTTTTCACCATCCTTGATAATCGCCTCCAGCTCCTCTATCTTATTATTCTTTGCTTGCAGCTCTTGTTTTTTCCTGTTAGCTTCTTCCTCGTCCTTTTTAATAATTGTTTCCAGATCCTTTATCTTTTCATCCTTCGATTCCAACTCCTCATTTTTCTCCGCAATTTCTTCCACGTACTTATTGAAGATTGCTTCCAACTCGACCATCTTATATCCGCCGCAGATATAATAATAATAAGATTATTATTAGTATTGAATGAATTCTTTATTTTCTTTCATTTTTGTCAAAAGACAACTTGACGTCATTGGGTAGGTGATTTTTTCCACATATATAAATAGATATTAATTGGATAAATTGCAAGTTTGGTTATTGGAATTACTTAAAAGTTCAAATTTGTCACTAAAATTAATTTTTTTTATTCGTAATCACTTAAATTAGTTACACAGTCCAAGTTTGATCACTCTTTGTTATCTTCCGTCAAACTCTATTATTACTGTCAGTGAACTACTGATGTGGCTAACAGAAATGCCCAATCAACATATTTTGACCCAAAAAAGTTTATAGTTGACCCACCACATCATCAAAACCAACCCAACCTTTCTCAATCCATGACTCAACCCTATTAACTAACACAACCTCATCCCATCAACTAACCTCAGATTTAATTCGTGCAGTAAGTAGGAGGGAGAGCTAAATGCAGTTATTGTAGTTCACGAAAAACAATGTCTTTCCCTCTCTCTTCTCTTTCCTCTTTCTCTCCCCCTCGACTATCTGGATCTACACACCTTCTTCCCGATCCAATCCTTCAAGCTCATCAAACCAGAGCCTCTACAGCTGCCATCTATGGAGCAATCAATTTCTCTTGTCAACCGTTTTTCCCTAGTGTGTCAATTAAGAAAAAGTCAGAGATTAGCAGGGGAGGGACGGAGAAGAAGCAGAGCATTGAAGAGGGGCTCACCCAGTCTGTATCAAGGACCAATGAAAGGAAGATCTGCACAGAAGGGCAAATCAGTGGATCAACAAATCCGCCGCCAAAACCACCTGAACGGAGGTCAATCAAAGGCCAGAGGAGTAAATATGGGAATGGCAGAGAAGATTTGGGTATCCAGGGAAGGCAAAAAGCAGAAGCAAATATTTATGGCTACCAACATACTTCTCCTATATGGAGGAGGACAACAAAAAGAATTTATGGCAGCAGAGCACCTGAGACAGGGGGAACGAGAGAATACTCTCCAGTAATGATTAGAACTGAAGCCGGATCAGTCATGGCACTGGAGCAAGCAAAAGAACAGAGAGTGGGTATTTATTGCGCTGGGCTCAGTCACAGGTCTCGATACACATACAAGGAGTGGAAGCTTCGAACACTTGCCGTGGGGGGAAATAGCCCGGCGGATAGCTATAACCATAAATGGAGTTTACAGGGAGTAACGGTGGGGAAGAGAGGCAGAGAGGGACAGGTGAACAAGCAACCAAGGCAAGGAGCATTAACTATTTATCAGGCAACACTCCAGTTCGCCCCAGGTACCCAATCTGGCTATTTAAGGAGCGCACCGGAGAAGCCAATCTCCTCACCAAACATCCCAAAAACAGAAGCAGTGCTTAGCCAACCTGAAATAGCAAAAACTCCTTCCCAACCTCTTTCTGGAAATAGTACCAACCACAGAGACAGAGGAAAGATGGAAAATCTATCACAAAGTCTGAGAGGAGAGAAAAGCCACCTGATCCTAAATGTGAGACCGACCATTGTGGGTGCGAGAGGTAGTGGTATGTCAATGTTACTGGGGAAATGGATAACTGATGCTAGTATCAACCTCCCAAAAGCCAGGAATGCTGCCACCAACAAATGGAGGGCTTATGGGGAGGTTCAAGTCACTAAGGAAGAGGAAAACCTGTTCGTTTACTCTTTCCAGTCAGCAAATCAGAGGGACGCGGTGTATGAAGCAAGGCCTTGGAACCTAAGCAACACCTTGGTTGCCCTAAAGAAATGGGATGGAGAGCAAAAGGCCGAGGCAACTGACATCACCACAGTCACAACTTGGGTTCAAATGCATGATCTCCCACAATCCCTGAAGGACGAGGAAGCAGTCCAGGCAGTCGCAGCTTTCATCTTCCCCCAGTTCCACTGTATTGATCGATCGAACTTCGACTTCAGAGGTTGGTTGAAGTTCGTCAGAGCGAAGGTGGAGGTGAGCATTGACGAACCCATCCCGATCGGCTTCGAATATCCAGTGGGGGACAGCGCAGTATGGGTCAGTTTCAAATATGAGAGAATAATGGATTTGTGTTATTTCTGCGGGAGACTCGGCCATCTCATCCACAATTGCATGGCTAGGGAGGACCACCGTAGGAGAGGGCTCAGTACCGATCCGTCGGAGGTGTACAATGATGCACTGCGAGCCGGGCATGACTCTCCGGCCAACACCCCGCCGGCATCTTTCAGGGAGAAGATGGCAAGGACTAAGAGGCTGACAAGTCAGAGCACAGGCAGACAGCAGATTTGCGGTTCCCGAGGGGAATCTTCTCAAGTCACTCTCACAGGCCTACCTATACAGGGCCCTTTCCCTTACCCATCGGGCTACGCCATCCTGCCAAGCACTGGGAGATCAACTGACTGGGTTTACAGAGGAGATGGAGTCAACCCGACAAACACCCTGCAATCTGCTGTTCTGGAGCTGGACATGGAGGCGACGACCAGAGCGATGCAGAGGAGTCTGGATCTTGGGGGAAGAGATAGGGATCATGACAAGATGGCGGGCCTCTTCGAGATGGGCCAGTCGCTTTCTCTGGCGAGCCCGTCTTTCATTCCTACGGAGGCCTCGCCTAGCCCATCAGCAATGGATCAACTAAGTCAGGTGACCAACAATCAGGCCCAATTCCAAAGCCCAGTTCCAACGGCTCTTATGCCAAATAGTGAGGAAGCTGTGACCAGGCCCGAGAAGAAACGGAAGCCCGAAGATCGCACCACCCAACCCACCCCAACTGAGCAACAGGTTATTCCCACTAACTTGTCTTTTGAATCTCTGTCTTTTGTACCAGGGGAAAATCGTCGCATTTACTAGAGAAGGAAGCATGGCATCAGAAAGAAGAGTCTGGCCGATATCACGGCGGAAGGGTGCCAGTCGGGCGAAGGGGAGTCAGTCACTCCGACGGCAGCGGCGGCAAGCCATAGGCCGCCTCCTCAAGAATGAGGATCCTGAGTTGGAATTGTAGGGGGTTCGGCCAGCCCCTTACAAGGAGCTACTGCGGCAGACTCTGTCGCCAATTCGGCCCGTCCGTGCTGTTTTTAATGGAAACCAGGAAAGAAGACTCCTTTATGGAGGAGAAGAAAAGACAAATGAAGTTTTCCCATTCTGATTATGTTAGCCCTGGAACGGAAGGAAGTGGGTTAGCGCTTTGGTGGAAGGAGGATGTTGATGTAGTTGTGTTGGATTCCTGTAAGTCCTTTATGGACACTAGCATCAGTAGGAACGGAGTCAAGTTTTTTTGCACTTTCATCCATGCCCCTACCACGGCGGTAGAGAGGAACGCTCTGTGGGATCGACTTACGAACCTTAGAGCGAATCAGGATGAAAGTTGGCTTGTTGTTGGTGATTTGAATGTAGCCCTCTCCCCTTGTGAAAAACAGGGACGCTGTCCCCTTAGGAATGAGAACGTCAACCCTTTCAAGTATTTTATTGCAAGGAATGCTTTAATGGACCTCGGTTTCTCGGGGCAAATTTACACTTGGAGCAACAAACAGCAAGGCCAGAATCTCATCAGGGAAAGGCTCGACAGAGCCTTGTGCTCAGTGGCATGGAGAACAGAGTTTGAGGCGGCCACTGTTTTTCACGAGGACTTCGTGGAATCAGACCACTGTCCAATTAGAATTGACCTCCACCCAAGAGGACGTGGTCCACTGGTCCCATTCAGATTTGATAAGAGATGGCGTGAGAGTGAGGAATGCTCCCAGATAATACAGAGAAGTTGTGATAGAGGGGGCCTGGTCCAAGATATTCTCGCTGACTGCCAGGAGGAACTGGAAGCTTGGGCCAGTAATGAAAGAAAGTTTAAGCTTAAGAGAGAAAAGGAGATAAGGAAAAGATTACAGGTGCTACAAGGGACTAATCGAATTACAGATGTGGTTAATGAAGAGAGGGAGCTCCATCTTGAATTAGAGAAACACTGGGCATCGGAGGAAAGCTTTTGGGCCCAGAGATCGAGGGTCTCGTGGCTTCAGGAGGGAGATCAGAACTCAGGCTTTCTTCCACGCGAGCACAATATCAAGGAAGAACCGAAATCGCATTATGAAACTTAAATTGGAAGATGATACTTGGATCACGAATGCTACTGATTTTAGTAACCACGCAAAGGAGTTCTACTGCTGTCTTTTCACTAGCAGGAATGGTATGCTTGATCCTAGCATTCTGGAAGGCTTCCCCTGTCTGGTTACTGAGGAGGCGAACAGAATGTTATGTGCGCCAGTCGAGAGAGAGGAGATTCGAAAAGTTGTTTTTCAGTTGGGAGCTAACAAGGCCCCGGGACCAGATGGTTTCCAGGAAGGCTTCCCCTGTCCCAGGGATGTTTTTCAGGAAATACTGGCACATCTTGAGTGACAAGTTCTACCACGAAGTCACCTCTTTCTTCCTGACAGGTGTTTTGCCGGATAAATGGAACGAGACTTTCATTACTATCATCCCCAAAGTCGATGCTCCAGAAAGCATGGGTCAATTCCGACCAATCAGTTGTTGCAACTTTCGATACAAGGTTATCACAAAAATCATGACTAACAGACTGCAACCGTGGTTGCCAGGTTTGGTGAATGAATTACAAGCAGCTTTCACAGGGGGAAGACAAATTCAGGACAACATCATTATTGTTCATGAAGTGCTCAACTACCTCAAGAAACTCAAAACTGGTAGCAAAAAACAGATGATGCTAAAGTTGGATATGAGAAAAGCCTATGATCTGGTTGAATGGGATCTGTTAATCAACCTCCTCCGAGCTTATGGATTTAATGAGTTGTGGTGTGGATGGATTCAGTCTTGTATCTCTACTGTCAGTTTCAAATTACTGTTCAATGGAGAGCCCTCGGCTGAGTTCAGACCTTCTCGAGGGATTCGACAGGGTGACCCCCTCTCCCCCCTGCTCTTCATCCTCCTCTCAAATGCCCTCTCCTTCCTTATTGAGAAAGCAGTCTACAAAAAAGATATCAAGGGTATCAAATTGA